AAGATGGAGCCTCCAATCCAGACACTGTATTTTCTTTATGGAGGTGCAACCACCTTAATCTTCATGCTGCTTGGAGCTAAAGCTGAAATTTCCTTGTTCATTCTGTCAGCAATACCCGGGAACATGGTTGAGCCACCACTCAGTACAATATTGCCATAAAGATCTTTCTTGATATCAACATTACACTTCATGATGGAGTTGTATGTCGTCTCATGGATTCCTGCTGCTTCCATTCCAATCATTGAAGGCTGGAGGCATCAGAAACGCTCAGCACCAATGGTAATCACCTGTCCATCAGGTAACTTATAGCTCTTTTCAACATCAGAGCTTGTCTTTGAAGTCTCGAGCTCCTGCTCGTAGTCAAGGGCAATATAAGCTAACTTTTCTTTCACGTCTCTCACAATTTCCCGCTCTGCTGAGGTGGTGAAGGAGTAACCACGCTCAGTAAGGATTGTCATTAAGTGATCAGATAGGTCACGACCAGCCAAGACAAGACGAAGGATGGCATGCGGAAGGGCATACCCTTCATGTATTGGGACAGTGTGGCTGACACCATCACTAGAATCCAGCACAATACCTGAGCAGGAAGCACTATAGCATGTCAACAAGATCAGATTTATATTAAGGACGTTCACTCGACATTTTGACTAGTTGAAACCTGAGCATAAATAACAAAAACAGCCTTCTTAAGATAAGACAGCCTATATAAGTCCTAAACCCCAGTCCTAAAAATGGATAAAGAACTGAGTGATTCTTGAATTTGGGGGATCAAGTTAGAGCTAATATACAATTTCCTATTTTCTTTTTAAATTTTATTGAAAGTTGGAATATATCGACTTTTGAAGCACTGTTTAGAAACTTCTACAATTTGACATCAGAAAGAAAAATGACTCCCATATCATAATCTAAAACACAAATTAATTGAAGTGCGAAAAATGCTCACCAGTAGTACGACCACTAGCATACAGGGCAAGGATAGCTTGAATAGCAACGTACATAGCAGGAGTGTTGAATGTCTCAAACATAATTTGAGTCATCTTTTCACGGTTAGCCTTGGGGTTGAGAGGTGCTTCAGTTAGGAGAACTGGGTGCTCTTCTGGGACAACACGAAAACACGAAGCTCATTGTAAAAAGTGTGATGCCATATCTTCTCCATGTCATCCCAGCTGCTTACAATACCGTGCTCAATTGGGTACTTGAGTGTTAAAATACCACGTTTTGACTGAGCTTCATCTCCAATGTATGCATCTTTTTGTCCCATACCCACCATCACACCAGTGTGACGGGGGTACCCAACAATGCTAGGGAACACAGCTCGTGGAGCATCATCTCCAGCAAATCCAGCCTAGAAACACGTTAAACTCTTGCTTCAAACTCAAATATTGGGAATGTGGGCAAAATCGGGGCAGCATAGCAGGTACAATTTTAAGGATAAATAAACTTCAAATTATACCTTAACCATGCCTGTCCCATTGTCGCACACCCTTGAAACTAAATCTGTAATTTCAATATAACTATGAGATGAATGAAGACTACCTCCAAATCATGACAGAAAATAAAAACAAAATGATGTGATTGCCATTATATGTGCTGATGTCCTTTTTCATCATTTAATAATGATCTAATTTCGTTTTACTTTTTTAAATTCTGAAAACCAGACAATTGATATCAAATCTATAGCACCATCTATAAAGTGAAGATGTCTCAATGCC